CTGCTATGACAAGTTGAAACTCTTAGTTACAGAGGTGGACACACACACACGCCCGCCCGCCGGCCCACCCATCCACGCACCCACCCACACACACAGGTATGCACGCACAGGCACACGCACAGGTACACGCGCACACACACACACATGCAAAAGCATTCGTCCAGGTTTCTCAGCTGTTTATTGTCATAGTAATAGTGTTCACTGCTCGATGGAGCGGGTTGCAGGCCCTTCGACACTTAGATCCGTTTCAGCGAAGGAAGATTACAGTCCTATGCTCCCTAGGATCCGTTCTCAGAGCAGAATGGCAGTGTCCGATAATGACTTCGAGAGGTTTGTCATTGATGTTGTGCCGACTTAGGTTTGGCAGTAGTTCTTACACTGCTGTGCTTCCTTCAGGAGCTACCTCAATATATGGTTTGTTTTCAGATGCTTGTCCCACATGCCATTCGGAACCACGGATTTGCCCTTGACTACTGCCAGCCTGCTAGGACTTTGGAGATTCTAGCAGTGACTTGCCTTTGTGCGCACGATTGTGCGCATGTAAGCGATTGTAAGCGCATGTGCCGGTTATATAATTCTCGCATGAACCGATGGACACGAACTTGAGGCCATAGAGAGCGCAGGCTCCAGTTCGCAGAGGACACTACGACTACAGTAGCCTGTCCAAACTTTAGATCTCAGGTTGGAGAGGGTGGGAGTGCAGGACTCTTGGCAAGGCCGTTCTTGAGCCGTGAGTGGTATTCGCCACCCAGGAACCAGACCTCTACCCAAACGACCTGCTTCTTAACAAACCCTATGGCAAGGAGGAGCCAGGCAGGGACGGAGGGCTTTATGCTTTAGCACCAATGTCCAGAAGCGCAAACAAATATATTGTAAAACAACAACAATATAAAAAGAAAAACACAACAGTCAAAACACGAACACAACAGAACACACACGAAAACCAATATATATATATATATAATCAGTTATTTGTTTTTCGTGTTGTGTTGCGATTTTTCGACCGGGGGCCCAGGCAGAAAGTTCCTGGCACTTTTCCATTGCATTGGCATCGTCATGAGCCGAGAGTGGAGATTGGAAGTGTCACAAGGATGTCCAGGGTGTTGCATGAATTTAGGCATACATGGTGCTTGGCCTGAACACAGTCTGCGACGT